TCAGAAACACGGACTTCCACTCACCAGGGCTGACTTGGCTATGGCCACTGCTGAGTGCCCAGTCTGCCAGCACCAGCGACCAACACTGAGTCCCTGACGCAGTACCATTCGCTGGGGTGATCAGCCGGTTACCTGATAGCAGGATGATTCCATTATGGAGAGGGCAGAGTTTTGTTCTTACTAGAGTAGGTACTTACTCTGCATATGGATTTGCCCTCCCTGCAGCAGTGTTTCTGCCAAAACTACCCTCCCTAGACCTACAGAATGCCTTATCTGTCATGATATCTGCATGGCATTGCTTCAGACCAAGCACTCACTTCACTGGCAAAGAAGCGTAGCAGTAGGCACACGCTCATGGAGTTCACTGGTCTTACCGTGTCCCCCACCATCCTGAAGCAGCTGTCAGGGTAAAATGGTGGAATAGCCTTAGGAAGACTCAGGTACAGCACCAGCTCAGTCATAGCACCAGCTAGATGGCAGTGCCTTTCAGGGCTGGGGCAAGGTTCTCTGTATTCTCTGAATCAGTGTCTGATATATGGTGCTGTTTCACAGTTCCAGGAATCAAGAGTGGAAATGGGAGTGGCACCACTCATTATTACCCCTAGTGACCCTCCAGCAAAATACTGCTTCCTGTCCCTACACCTTTATGCTCTGCTGGCCTAGAGGTCTTGGTTCTAGAAGGAGGAATGCTTCTACCAGGATACAACAGTGATTCCACTGAACTGAAATTAAGACCCAGCCTTTGTGGGCTCCTCATTGCCTCTGAGTCAGCTGGCTAAGAGGGGATTAGTGTTATTTGGAATGATTGATCCTGAATACCAAGGGGAAATTGGACCACTACGCTGCAACAGAGGTAATGAAGGGCATGTCTGGAATACAGGAGATCCTTTAGGGTGTCTCTTAGCATTGTCATGCCCTGTGATTAAGGTCAATGTAAACTACAATAACCCGAACCAGGCAGGACTACTAATGGCCCAGACCCTTCAGGAATGAAAGTTTGGGTCACTCCACCAGGTAAAGAACCACAGCCAGCTGGGGTGCTTGCTGAAGGTAATGTGAATACAGAATGAGTAGTAGAAGAAGGTAGTTGTAAATACTAGTTACCACCACATAACCAGTTACAGAAATGAGGATTATAATTGTCATGAGTATTTCCTCTTTATTTTGTTATGAATTCATTTGTGTTTTTACACGTGTATCTTAAGCAAATGTCTTTGTTTTCTTTTCTCCCTTGTATAACATAAGAAGTATTGACTTTATATGAGGACTCAAGTATTGTAAATTTTTTATCATAATATGTAAGTTTTGGGATTATCAGGATAAGAGTAAACATCACTCAAAAATTTGACTTCCTTTGGGGAGGGGAATAGTGTGTTTTCAGTTGTGTGGGGGATAGTTGTGTCATGTTTGGTGGAATTATGAGCTTGTTATTGTCTTTATTTGGAGATTAAATGTGGCTTAAGGAGATGCATATGGGCACCACGTCAACAAGGAACAGACTTGTGATGGTTAATTTTATGAGTTAGCTTGACTAAACTAAGGGATGCCCAGATAGCTGGTAAAACATTATTTCTGCATGTGTCTGTGATGATGTTTCTGGAAGAGATTAGCATTTGAATTGGTAGACTGAGTAAAGGAAGATTGCCCTTACCAAAGTGGGTAGGTACCATCCAATCTATATTCAGTTTCTCTTTAAGCTGGGGCATGCATATTCTCTTGCCTCCATCATTAGCACTCCTGGTTTTTTGGCCTTTGGACTTGGATCAGGACTTATACCATTGTACCTCCTTCCCCAACTCCCCCAGTTCTCAGGCCTTCAGACTGGGATGGAATTATGCCACCAGCTTTCCTGGTTCTCTAGCTTGAAGATGTGGCACTTTTTTGCCTTCATAATTGCCTGAGCCAATTCCTGTAATCAATCAATCAATCTCTCTCTCTCTCTCCCTCTCTCTCTCACACACACACACAAACACACATACTCACATACATCTCCTGTTGCTTCTATTTCTCTGGAAAACCCTGACTAATACAGAGGGAGAGAAAAGATTAACACAGACGAAGTATGTATTCTCGGTTATGTGATGATACCTGCCCACCCTCCACCCTCCCATTCCATAAGAACTCAGAATAGAGAGACACGTAAATAAAGGTGGTCTTCTTGCCTTCATTATTAGCATATGTTGAGCATAATTTATTCTTGATGATCCAGGGTAGTTCTGATAAATGAGCATAATTGGTCATTTATATGGAATAAAATGATGGCTTTGGGTTTGTAAAGGTATGCATGGTCCCTCAATAAAATAGCAAAAGCTTATATAGTTATTAGTGTGGACCAGGCACTGAATGGATTGTGTTTATCATTTCCTGGTTCATGTTTATTGTTCACTTTTCAATGTTGTCATCCCTATAAAGCATTTGTAATAATAGGTAGTCTAGGGACTACCTAGTTTTAAGTATTATCCCCAGCACTTACAACTATGTGATATTGGCAAAGTTATGAATACTACCTTCCCTGAGGCTCATTTTATCATTTGTAACTGGCAATAACAATAGAATGTTCCTAAAATCATGAGGATTAAATGAGAGAATGCTTATAAACCACTTAGTACAATGGCTGATACCTAAATCCTCTAAATATTATGCTTTATTATATTCTGTTTCTCTTTTACTTTGTAAGTTAAAGAATTGAAGTGCCTAGGAGAAACCAGACAACCAACATGTTAAATTAATAGCCTTTAATTTTTATTGGGGTTTAAGTCTTTAAGTAGATTGGGAGGGTTTAGGAAGGGACCATTACAATTTTGTATGGAGATAAATACAAATAGGGTTCAATGTGATAAATGCCAAGTCGGTACAAAGTAATATAGGAGTTTACAGGAAAAAGTGAGCAGTTCTGTCTGTGGTAATCAAGAAAAGCTTCAGGAAAGAGGTAACTTTTACTGGACTTAAAGATGAGAGGGTTTCAACAAAAATGTTACATAAGCTGATCTCTTTGCCCCTTTGTTCCTATGCATTGTACCAAACTGCAAAGACAATTTTCTGATCATTCCTGCATCTCCGTGGAATCTACTTAGACCTACTGTATTAGCATCTTTGGAGAAAACCTACGGAGGAGCTGCAGAATCTTACCTCCCCATTTAAATGTGACCATGTGCCTTCAGTCTTAAAGAAGAGTAGAAAGTTAAATGACTGCCCTGAGAGTCAGTTTCTTTAATGCTAACATTTGTTATTTAAAAATCAGCAGTTACTACCACCTTCCTGTAACAGCCTCAGAGATTAAAGAGGCTGTAGAGACCTGCCAGTCCAATAAGGAATTGTTTCATGGCTTTTCTGGCAATCCGGACTCTTCTTAAATATCAGGAGATAACCACTTTACAAGACAGGCCTAGCCCTATATGAAAAGCCATCCTTACATTGAGTAGAACTTGTACTCCGTGTTACAACTTCCATACTATAGATCAATCTTTTCCTAGAAGTAATAGTTTATCATCTGTTTCTTCTTCTACAGGCTCAATAGCCTTAATTTCCTTCACCTTTCTTCATGGGAAATATAAACCAATTAGGTTTTTGTTAGGCTAAGTCAGTTTTACTAATGCCCCTTGTCTGCATGCATATTTATCACTTTAAAAGAATTCTAATAGATTAATTAGGCATCATTTCTGCAGTTAGGAAACATTATACCTTCTTTTCAATATATTTCATTTAATATGATTCTACAAAATAATATCATGTGCTAAGATTCTATATAGTTTTAAATTTTTGATTTCTATGTGCTTAACCATCTAATAGATAAAGGTTTATAATTAGAGACTTGTATCGACTCTGTAAACTTAACCAGATACTGCCTTGTAAAAAAATGAACATTGTTGCTTTATTAAAATAAACTAACAAATAATACCTTACACATTTACTCCTAATACTCTAGACATCTCTGTTCCTGTAGTTCAGGAGCAAAATTTAGATGTGCAAACTCCTATTTCTATAGTTCTGATAAAGTCATAGCAATTTACCAATTGAGATATGTCTTAAGATCTCCTCTCCTCCCTAGCAGCTTTAAAATAGCCATTGAGTAGTACTGAGAATTCTTTCTTAGAAAAGGATATATATTTCAAATATATTTCCTATGCATAGTCAGAAAAAGATCAAATACATGTGCTTTTAGTGATTACAGTGACTTAGTAGAAAGAGAATAAAGCACCAATTTTTTTAATGACTACCTATAGATCTGGGTCTACTATTGACAGTAGCTAGGAAGAGGCAGGATTTCTCCTTGCTAAAATACACAGGTCAAGGGCAGTAGTGAGAGAGCGAGAGCATCTTCACAAGGGGGTATGTAAACAACTAAACACACTGTCTCCGTGTGAAGTCTTGAGCAAGGGCAGAAAGAGCAATATACATGTACAGTATATAGTGACTGCCATGATACTTGGAAAAGGAAGTGGAACAAATGAACAAAGCTAAGACTTTGAGAGCTATACTGGGCAAGAAAATAAGTAAGAGCATCAAGAACAAATTAATATTGTTCATATGTTCCAAACCATTCTTATACCCTCTCTGAGTACAAACAATCCTATGTCACATAATCCTTACATTATATAATTGTGGGTGGGTACTGCACAGTAATCAGAATACAACACCTCATGCTCTGGGCACATTGCAGATGGTAATAATGTCCTCTATTGCTGAGCTTATGGCAACTTTAGAGGATAGGTAAAAATCATGTAGTCCAATTCTTCTGCTTTAGAAAAGAGGAGACTGAGACCCACAGAGTGAATGACCTACCACATGTCATGGCATTAGAATTCACTCCAGGATTCATTGTTCTTTCTGCTCTTAAATTATCCAATACATTCTCTCCTGCATATTATTCTTGTAATGATAAGGGCTGCAGAGAAGGTTAGGGGAAATTGTATCTAAACCCAAAGTATCTTAAAATTGGAGAATAAGATAAACTTCTAATAAACAGCTTCACTGATCTTTTGCCTCTTATCTTCTTTCAGACTCCGAACTTGCCTTGATGTACAATGATCCTCTGTCTTAGAGAACATCATTTAGCTGTGGGCTTTAAGTTGCTTCAGAAGAAAACTGTGACATTTTCCAGAATTTGACCAAAAAGCAAAGACAATCGTTAAGGAAAATGGTCATTGACATTGTAAGTAGCTGAAAGCAAAAAAAAAAAAAAAGAGAGAGAGAGAGAACTTTGATGCAAGTTTGTTTTTGTTTTTTTAAATGTAAGAATGAGATGAGTATCAGGTCAAAGAACTGCATTAAAACCTATTGTTGTCTTTTATGTTGTAGAAGCTGCCCCTGCTGCAGGCCCTGATGTTTCCTAGTAGGTTTTCCACTCCTAGCAGTTGGATTTAAATCATGACAGCTCACCCTCATCATTCAGATTTTATTTTCTGAGTCACTCAAGTCTGATGGCACACAGAGAAAGATGTCTCACAAAAACAGAGTATAGGCCACAGCTCGAATGGATTTGTTTTTATTTTTCATCAGTAAACAGTGCCATTTAGACCACTCTTAACTTTATTCTTTTCTCTATGCATATTATTCAGAGTCATTATGAGATGCAAAGAAATCTCTGGTTATCAAAACTTACTCTGTTAAACTTTGTACATCCAAAGGCAGGAATATATGTCAGAAGCAGAGATTAGTCAGAATGTTCTGTTTTTGAAGCAGTCCCTCATAGTCCAATAACCACTTTCTAGTCCAAGAAATGGAAAAGAACTTCAGAACCTGTGATGATATCTTATCCATAGAGATATCATCCATTTTCACCATGAAAGTGGTTGTCAGTGCTAATGTTTCAGTATATTACACACATTTATCTGGGCCTCCAGAAAACTGACAGCAAAGAAGAAAAGACTCTGCTCCAAGAAGGAGTAAAGAATTTCCATACACTGTTATTAGATAGCATAGTGGTTTTCTGTTCCTTCTCATATTCTGCATGATATTTTCATATGCAAATTCTGACATTCTCCTCTGGGCTTTACTTCATAAAATACTCTTTGTCTTTTAAGGTACTTGCGACAGACATGTCAAAGCACATGAATCTACTGGCTGATTTGAAAACTATGGTTGAAACTAAGAAAGTGACAAGTTCTGGAGTCCTCCTTCTTGATAATTATTCTGATAGGATTCAGGTAAAGCATTATTTGAGTTAGCTTTGTGTGTGCCTGTGCATGTGCCCACATGTCTGTGTTCAGAAATAAATAACACTTATTTCTCCTGTCTCCCACATTATGCTTTTAGTAATTTAAGGGAGGATTTTCATACAAATTCTTATTCTTGAAAATTAACCAGGTAAAAATCCTATTGATCTTTTCATTTGCATATATGTTACAAAAAAAAAAAACTAACATCCCACAAAGCCAGCCACTTGAGCAGGCCTGAATTTAATCAACCATGCACATAAACAGTTTCTCTTACAATATTTAGATGTGGTAGAAGTGGCATCATTTGGAACTATTAATACAAGTGTGAACCATACACAGACACTTCATGGTTGAGTTGTTTAGAAGAAATCTTACACTACATGTATTTTTAAGTGTCACAGTCATCCAACGTGAATTTCTAGTTTTTAAAAAAAGGAGCAGGTGCTGAATAGAGAATGCATCCATCTATTGTAGGTCCTTCAGAATATGGTGCATTGTGCCGATCTGAGCAACCCCACAAAGCCTCTCCAGCTGTACCGCCAGTGGACGGACCGGATCATGGAGGAGTTCTTCCGCCAAGGAGACCGGGAGAGGGAGCGTGGCATGGAGATAAGTCCTATGTGTGACAAGCACAATGCATCCGTGGAAAAATCACAGGTAATGCACGAAGCATAGAGCTTTCCGAGAGATGCAGCTTTAGCATTTGGTTACTTTGTATTCACATCTCACAGTATTTTGTTGGGTTTTTTAAATTACTTTGTTTTTGACAAGGTAGATTTCACCTTATTATTTAGGATCCAAGAAATTTTCATTCCTATGACTTAGATTCATAGTCATCTATCTCTATGTTTTTATGACATTATAGTCATTCATTATGACTATTTCATTTAATGTACTCATGTACATAGAGTGCATGGCATTATTTCAGTTATCTGGATTCACCTACAAATTGGCAATTCTAAAATAAGGTTCAGGACCCAAACCCTACCATGGAAACAATTGGAAATTTTTTTACATTGTAAACATGCTTTTGAGCTAAGAGTTCTAACAGCTAATTTTCACCAGCTGGTAATGATATGTTTATGTGATCTTTCATCTAAAATAGTGATTATTTTGCCAAACTAAGGTTAACAGTCTTCTGTTCAGTGTTCTATTTGTGGGTCATGATCTAGTTAACCTTTCCCATTGTTTCTTAGTCCCATGTTCTCTACTCATATTGGATTTTTTTTCATAACTAGGTGGGCTTCATAGACTATATCGTTCATCCTCTCTGGGAGACATGGGCAGACCTTGTACATCCCGATGCCCAGGACATTTTGGACACTTTAGAAGACAATCGTGAATGGTACCAGAGCACAATCCCTCAGAGCCCCTCTCCTGCACCTGACGACCAAGAGGAGGGCCGGCAAGGTCAAACTGAGAAATTCCAGTTTGAACTAACTTTAGAGGAAGATGGCGAGTCAGACACGGAAAAGGACAGTGGGAGTCAAGTGGAAGAAGACACTAGCTGCAGTGACTCCAAGACTCTCTGTACTCAAGACTCGGAGTCTACTGAGATTCCCCTTGATGAACAGGTTGAAGAGGAGGCAGTGGGGGAAGAAGAGGAAAGCCAGCCCGAAGCTTGTGTGATAGATGATCACTCTCCTGACACGTAACAGTGCAAAGACTTTCATGCCTTTTATTTTTTTTTTAGTAGAAAAATTGTTTCCAAAGTGCATGTCACATGCCACAACCACGGTCACACCTCACTGTCATCTGCCAGGACGTTTGTTGAACAAAACTGACCTTGACTACCCAGTCTGGCGCTCAGGAATATTGTAACCAGTTTTTTCACCTCCATGTCATCAGAGCAAGGTGGACATCTTCACGAACAGCATTTTAACAAGATTTCAGCTTGGTAGAGCTGTCGAAGCAGATAAAATCAATTCCAAAATGTTTTCGAGGGAACGTGGCTCATCAGGCAGCCCAAAAGTTGATTGGATTTGGGGTTTCTTTTCTTTTTATTTGTTTGCAATATTTTCAGAAGAAGGCAAGCATTTCACAAAGTGAACTTACTGGGTGAAGCAACAGACACATCAAGAACAGGACACAGCATGAATCTGTTACCAGAAGGAAGAGGAAGATGAGCCACAGAAATTACATAATTTTCTAATTTCAAGTCTTCCTGATACATGACTGAATAGTGTGGTTCAGTGAGCTGCACTGACCTCTACATTTTGTATGATATGTAAAACAGATTTTTTGTAGAGCTTACTTTTATTATTAAATGTACTGAGGTATTATATTTAAAAAAAACTATGTTCAGAACTTCATCTGCCACTGGTTATTTTTTTCTAAGGAGTAACTTGCAAGTTTTCAGTACAAATCTGTGCTACACTGGATAAATCTGATTTACGAATTTTACTTGCACCTTATAGTTCATAGCAATTAACTGATTTGTAGTGATTCATTGTTTTATATACCAATGACTTCCATATTTTAAACAGAAAAACAACTTTATGTTGCAGGAAACCCTTTTTGTAAGTCTTTGTTTACTTTGCTTTCTGTTTCACTCTTTCCAGAAAAGTGGGGTTGCTCTCCACTGACATTTTTCTTTGCAGTGTGCAAGTGAATATTTGTTCTATAATACTTTGATGTGCGTTATGTCAAATGTGTCTTAAGCCTCATGGAAACTCAGTCATCAGTTGGTGTTGTCTGAAGCAAGTGGGAGATATATAAATATCCAGTAGCTAAAATAGGTCAGTCTTTTTTAGATATTTTCCTACTTAGTGTCTTCTGATAACTTTTTGCTGTGTCAGTAGACGTGCATTTCACAAGTGCATGTCTTTGTAATAATCTGCACATTTCATGCTCATTTTTATTGTTTTTACAGCCAGTTATAGTATGAAAAATGTTTTTCCCCTTGTGCTGCTTTATTGTTTAGCATGTGTTTGAACCTCTGTCCATGTTGGTTAGATGGGATCTTATCATATATATCACCACCATTCAGATTGATGAAAAGAAGCAGGTTAGGGTTATGGTTAGTCAAGTTAGTCAAGTTAGGGTTAGCATTCATTTCTACCGTGAAGTTGTGTATCATGACTAGCTTTTACTCTTGGTATACAGAAAAAAAGTTAATGGCTAAGTAGGCAGTTTTTAAGAATATTAACAGTATATATTAGCAAACACTAGTACAACTAATTCTCTTTGGTTTTGATGATTTCACCATGGGATTAAGAATTGTATCAGGAATATCTCTGATAGTTGGTTTTAAGTGTAGCCACTACTCTTTCTTGATGGACAGCTATATAATGTGTAGAAATGGCTTTATCACTTATCCTTGATTCATAAACATGTCTTGTAGAGGGGAGCTACTTCTTTTAAACAGACTGAGGGAAAGAAGATGATGCCACTAGCACCAGAGGGTTAGTAAAAAGATTCTGCCTGAATAAAAAATTAGAGATCACTCTTAGCTAATTTTAACACCAGGAACTGTGTTGCAATTTTAGAGATTAATTCCAAGTTTTTACCTACTCAGAGCAGTTGGCATCATGGGGCATTTAGTTTGGACTTCTCTTCCCATGTCAGTTCTAAGTAAAATGTTTACCTTCTTCTCTGTGTAGAGTTTGGAGCCCAAATAATAATTTTTCACATTGATATCCAAGAATTGAAATAGAGGCTAAAGGGAGCATCTGACCAAGTGAAAACTAAAACAGTTGAGAAAAACTGCAACCCTGAAAAACATTTATATTGGGAACTTCTCAAGGAGCCTTCTGGGGACTAGTAACTAAATTATCAGCCAGGAAAATGACCCAAGCTGAAGACAGCCCCTATTTTAATCCCCTGAGATCCAACCTACGCTTAGAACCTTTGGTAGAAAGATCATGTCTTTATAGCTCTGATCTTTTATGTAGGGCACAACAGGAATCAACTAATTAATTACCAGGTTTGCAATCTTTTTCCTCTATAAAGATCAGAGAGTAATCTTCCAAATAAAGATCAATGTTTAAGTGGTTTCGCAAGAACATTTGGGAACTTGTTTCTCTTTTCATTGTATTTCTCCCTGAGGGAGAGCTACAAGGAAAGGCAACAAGAATCTAGAGTTTATTCCTCTTTCCAAAACATCTTCATTCCCCACCCTCCATTTGGTATTTCCCCCACAGAGTGCCTAGAATCTTAATAATGAAAAAAAAAATTAAAAAGCAGCAATATGTCATTAACAAATCCAGACCTGAAAGGGTTCATAACTGCACTAATAAAGAGAGGATTTTTTTTCCAGTTTATTGGTTCTTAATGGTACCATGTTGTAAGGATACCCACAAATGGACAATCAAATTGTGGAAAAGGCTTAATATCTAAGAGACAGGGACTAATGCACTGTACAATCTGCTTACCCTTGCCTTTCTCTCTCTCTTTCTCCCTTTTGTCTTGCCAAAGTGTGCTTCAGAAATGTACACTGCTTTAAAAAGAACATCCTTTTACAAGTGGCTTTTACATTTTCTAAAATGCCATAAGAAAATGCAATATCTGGGTACTGTATGGGGAAAAAAATGTCCAAGTTTGCATAAAACCAGTGCATTTCAGCTTGCAAGTTACTTAACACGATAATGCTATTTTAATTTTGTTTTGTTTTACATCAGTTAAAAAATTCACAAGAAAATAATGTAGTTAGAACAAATTGCAGACAAGGAAAGAAATAAACTTGAATGAAATGGATTTTACAGAAAGCTTTATGATAATTTTTGAATGCATTATTTATTTTTTGTGCCATGCATTTTTTCTCACCAAATGACCTTACCTGTAATACAGTCTTGTTTGTCTGTTTACAACCATGTATTTATTGTAATGTACATACTGTAATGTTAATTGTAAATTATCAGTTCTTATTAAAACATCATCCCATGATGGGATGGTGTTGATATATTTGGAAACTCTTGGTGAGAGAATGAATGGTGTGTATACATACTCCTTGTACATTTTTCTTTTCTCCTGTAATATAGTCTTGTCACCTTAGAGCTCGTTTATGGAAGATTCAAGAAAACTATAAAATACGTAAAGATATATAAATTTAAAAACATAGCTGCAGGTCTTTGGTCCCAGGGCTGTGCCTTAACTTTAACCAATATTTTCTTCTGTTTTGCTGCATTTGAAAGGAAGGTAATGGTGGGGCTAGGGCTGGGCATTTTATATCCAGGCTTTCAATTGATTGGATTTCTGGCAATGGCTGGATTTTACAAAACCACAGACAACTCTGGAAGACTCTGCGACCCTTTTGAGATATAAGTTCTTAAGTATGTCTTGCCATGGAACAGCACTGCATGTATGATGCTTGTTTGCCAGCTGTTTATCAGGAGCAACTTCAGCTACTCACATCTGGATTTTTTATTTTTTCAACTCTCAAACTCTACTGGGGGAATATATTCTCGTCCAGTGATTATAAAACATCTTTTTTTAAAAAAAGTCTTTTGGGCTTTTAGAGCCCCAGGTCACTTGTGTTGATCATTTGTGCATCAGTTTCTGAACATGTTAAGTGAATATGCTGTACAAAAAAAGATCATTTTTTTAACTCTAGAATTTTTCTTCCACTAGGATAAACCAAATTTTCTTATTAGTTTATCTTAGTGGATAAAATACACATACACACACACACACACACACACACACGTAAACCCATCTATGTAAACTTACAAAGTTATATGTAATGCCGATTCACATAACATAAAGGATTCACCATCCTCTAGAATTTGTTTCTTCAAAACTTGTAGCACTGTAGAATTTTTAAGTTTAACCTTTCACAATGGCCAGCCCCTGAAAGCATGAAAAATTCCTAGTAGATAACGTGGAAACCTCCTTCCACTGCTGCCCAGCCCTTGGAACATATGACTTAGTGAAAGGAAAGATTCTTTTTCTAGGAAAAATGAGCCTCCTGTTATTTTATTTTATTTTTTTGACACAAACTGTAGATTTTAGCAGCCCTGGCCCAAAGGAATTTGATTACTTTTGTTTTAAACCATACAAAGGGGACACTATAATTATAAAATAACATCCTTACTGATTTTAGTTGTTTTTAATTTTCTTTCTTTGGATACGTTTTCAAGAGTGGTAAATTGCGTGTGAGCATTACAAATGATGATTCTTTTAGTGGTTTCTTAGCCTCTCTTACAGCCCATGGGGATAGTACTGTACATCAATACCTTCATATGAAATTTTTATATGCAATGAAAATAAAAGCATGGGTTGATTCTGCCTATTTATGACTTGGTGTTTTATAAATGAAAGATTATTCATTTTAAATGAAGTTCAATCAGCGAACATTTCCAAGGGTAATGCACATTGTTGCAAGGGTAGTGACATCATAAGTTAATATTGATATTCATAACCAAATGAAGCCAAATTATATTGATTAATCTTGCTATATAAAGCATTTCCCAAATTACTTAGATTAAGTGTGATGTTTTTGTAAATAGGCTTGGGAAGGGGCCATCCATGCTTAATTGAAAATTCTGGCATATTGAAAGTTATTGTTTAGACATTGAACAAGTATTTGTTGGGCACCTACTCTGCAAACTACAAAGTTTTAACGATGCAACACTAAGTCAGTGAGGTGTACAGCAAAATCTTTGCTTTCATGGAGCTTATAGTCTGGAGGGGACAAGAGCATTAACTTGTTGTTATAATTGTGCTCAGTACAATGAAGCAGTTTGATGCTGTAATTAAGAGGGAATCTGAACTTGACCTATTTTGGAGGACCAGGGAAGGCTTCCTTGAACAGTGATTTATGGCTGAGATCTGAAGGGTAGTGAGAAGTAAGCAAGGAAAAAGGAGCTGATAGGAAGAGGGAGGAGATCCTGACAGAGGAAATGTCATTTGCAAAAATCCTGAGGTACAAATGGCTGGAGAAATTGAAGGAAAGCAAAGGGGAGGGTTGGCAGGGCCCAGAGCTGGGTGCCCTTCCCAACCATCCTGTGTGAAATAGCCCTCCTGCTCCACAGCATTATCCCTGAAACCCTACTTTATTTTCTTTATAACACTTATTGCAGATTGATAGATACATCTATTCATTTGTTTATTGTCTGGCTCTCCAACCAGAACGTGGCTCCATGAGAACAAGGTCTCTGCTTTCTAGTGTATCCCTGGTCCTTAAAACTATGCCTGGTACATAGTATGTTCTTACTACGTGTTGACTGTAGCCACCAAATTGATACTGGATGTAATTCAATTTGATAGCCAAGACATTTGGGGATCTTAGGGAGTTTTTAACTTGATACCATAAAAACATTGTTTTTGAGCTTGCTAAGATCCTGGATAAAGAGTTTACAGAGTTTCTTTTCTCATTGCTAACTAAGAACTCTGTTTGCTTCTCCTTACAAATCTTTCTATTTTTTTGTGAATGACAAAGCAATCCATTTTTCATGATAATGAGAGTAGAGAAATCAGAATTATGAATCAAGTTGTGAATATCAGTTTATTAATTTCAATTCAATTCAATCCCAAGATAATTCCCAAACCATAACTGGCAGCATAGGGTAATTAAATAGGCTCTTCATTATTTCCTCTTACCATGACAAAGAATGTCACTATAGCCGAGAGGTGCCCAATTTGTGCCTTCCAGGAAATTCTTGATTTAATCTCAAATTCCCTTTCCCACAGCCATGACCCCAAAGGGAGACTATGGGACTAAAGAACCAACTCCCTTTTCCAAACTAGCCCCTCACGTTGATTTAGGCTAATTTGGGTGTGTTGAGTCAGTTCAAGTTCAGATCTCTAACCTGGACACTTTTCCTCAGGCTCACAGTTTTAGAAGCACAATGGCAAAACATTCCCCACTCCACCCCCCCAAAAAAAACCAGAAAACAAAACCTCTTCCCTGTTGTCAGAGAGCCCCACCAGCTCCCCCAGGGAGATGATAACCATGTTTCAGTGGAATCATACCTGTGCCGTACCATCTCTCTGATCCAGGTACTGTTCTCCTCACAGCTGCATTATCTCCAAATACTAAATGTCAACTCAGTGTAGTGGGTGTAAATCTTAGTCCATGAACTTGTGTGTGGAGGAACTACTGCTTTCTTTATTTCCTTTAAAGGAATTAACCTGGACTCTGTGTCCCCATCCTATCCTACTGTTGGAATTTCCATCTATATTTATTGGCACATCCCCTCTCTGTCCCAACATAAAACTTCTCAAAAGTTCTCTTAACTCCAGCCTAACTTGAGCACCAGATCTCTGTGTTGTTCCAGCTGTAGTGGTTCCTTCCAGTCGCTCAGTTCTTTGCTTCCTTGTCCCCACATATCCTGGTGGTCTACGACTACAGTCCCCAAGCCCCAGGCCATGGACTCGTACCAGTCCGTAGCCTGTTAGGAAGTGGGCTGCACAGCAGGAGGTGAGTGGTGGGCCAGCCAGTGAGTGAAGCTTCATTTTTAATTACAGCTGCTCCCCATTGCTCACATTACCACCTGAGCTCTGCTTCCTGTCAGACCAGCAGCGGCATCAGATTCTAATAGGCACGTGAGCCCTACTGTAAACTGCGCATGTGAGGGATCTAGGTTGTGCACTCCGTATCAGAATCTAATGCCTGATGATCTGAAGTAGAGCTGAGGCGGTGATGCTAGTGCAGGGGAGCAGCTGCAAATACAGATTATCATTAGCAGAGAGGTTTGCCTGCACAGAGACCGTAATGAATCAATTGCTTGCAGAATCATGTCAAAACCCTATCAGTGGGTGGCAAGTGACAATGTAATAATAATAGAAATAAAATACACAATGAATGTAATGCACTTGAATCATCCTGAAACCATTCCCCTCCACCCCAATCCGTGGAAAAATTGTCTCCCATGAAACCAGTCTCTAGTGTCCAAAAGGTTGGGGAACACTGGTCTACAGGAACAGATGCTGAGGCTAGGAACTCTGGCTTGGCCCCTGGTTAGGCTCATGGCAGAGTATGTGTATAAAAAAAGCCTGCCCTTCTAATTAGTACCTTGCTATGGTCTGAATGTGTCTGTTCAGATTCAAATGTTGAAATCCCAACCCCTAGGTGATGGTATTAAGAGATGGGCCCTTTCAGGAGATGATTAGGTAAGATGATAGAGTCCTCATGAATAGGATACCTCAATACCCTTATAAAATAGCCCAAGGGAGCTCATTCAACCCTGCCATAATGTGTGGACACAGCTAGAAGGTAACATTTATGAACCTGAAAGCAGGCTTTTACCAGACATCAAATCTGCTGGAGCCTTGATCTTGGACCTCCCAGCCTCCAAACTGAGAAAGAAATGTCAATTGTTTATAAGCCACCCAGTTTATGGTATTTTCTTATAGCAGCCTGAGCAGACTAAGACATATCTACTTAAGTTACTGTAAAAAAAAAAAAAAGTAGCATTGTCTCTTTCCTAACCCTGGACACATTCTCTCCTCCCACCCTTCCCTCCTTCGGCTATTCAATGAGATTAGGCTTTAAAAAATAAAACAAAACAAAAACCAGAGACCAGAGGTGATATGACTTCTGTCTGCTTCTGCTCTCCACTCTGCAAAAACTCTTTGCTATTACTTGAAATATGGAAAGGAAAGTAGATATAGGAATAGCATGCATTAAGTAAAAGTTCAGCCCATTGACCTTCTACAGATGGTTGGCAACATTCATATCCAACATGTACACTGAACATTTTGGAAGTTGAGAAAGTTGTCTGCAGGTGGAAGTTATCAGGACTTCCTAAACTCCCTATCCAAGGAAGTAGGGAAAGAACACTTTCTCCTGAAATCTCTGCTCCAATTCTATCTCTGATGTCTAATCCTAGTTCTCACCCAGCTGTTTCCATTACAAGAGACAGAACTTTAGGATTTTTATATAGTGAAATTCATATTTGATCCCTGCCACATGCCCACACATTCCTATCCCAGTACCCTGCTCTGGTCCACAAGTGGCATCATGATTTACTCCGTTTCATAGGTAGGAAAAATGAGACCCAAGAAGGTTAATTGACTTGGCTAAAATTATTCACAAGCTAAATGCTAAGAATGATAATTTTCCAATGACAGATTTGACAGAATTCCTGTCGCTCTCTCTTCACCTTTTTTATGTTGACTCACTAACAAGGAACAAAATGGACCATGGATTGCCTTTGATCTCCTTGGACCATCCTTCATTGCAGGTGTTAATGATCATTTTCATGTTCCAAAGCTAGATGGCAAATATCAGTGCATATTAATTCACTGACTCACCTCTCTATAGTGAGGAGGAGCCCTGGGGTAGACAGCCGCAGACTCTCTTAAAAAAAATTTAAAGAAAGCAAATGAAAGAAGCTGTCAAGAAAGTAAAGAGCATAGATGAATGTGCCTCTGCCTGGTGAAGACTCACAACATGGAATGAGGAGATTTTAGTGGGACTCCTGGGGGCTTCGGCCTCAATGAGGGGTTGGAGCTTGGCCAGCACCAGCAAAGGACCAATCCCCTTCCCCCATCACACCTGCTGAGCAGCTGTTTGCCAGGTGCTTACACATCCTGAGCCAACAGACATGGTTTCAGAAATAGCATCGTGTAAGTGTATTGTCTGAAAAGCTCTATCGTCTGAGAGTTGTTTTCCTTTGCTCCTTGTTTTTGAACCAAAAAGCAGACTAAGTGTACAGAGGCAAAAACACAGTGCCCAGGCTGTGCAAAGCACTGCTTTTACCACCAGGCTGGCTAATTAGAGAACCAAGCAGTCTCTCACCTTGTGGCTTCTTAACACTTGACTCATTTTCTCCCTAACGCTGATAGTTGTTTCTGTTTCTTACTGTTCATTTACAGCATCCAGGAAGAGAGACAGAAACTGCTGGGCCACCCCACCCCTGCCACAGTAGGCCAGACTGAGGATAGGTGCAGACGCCCCTCGCCACCCTAGCAAAAGTTGATGGTTCAAGGAGTGGGAAAGAAAGCCACGCACAGCTGCTGCAGTCCAGGCATCTGTCCACAGCAGAAGACTGCTTAGGAAGCAACCACCTTTGCTTTTTAAAGCCATGTTTGGTGGCACTTGGCTTTATGCACTAATCAAAGAGTATCTTTGAAAACTTATATTCTAAAAATAATAGCTGGGATCCATGATTGAAATGCCTAATGGATGCACTGGAAAAGGTGAAAACAAGCAAGGGTGAGAGGAAAAAAAACTAAGGAATAAAGGGGAGAAAGTGAAGGACAGTGGACCCTCCACTGCCACAGCATCCAAGAACAGTGACGGTACCTTCTTTTTCCCACAGGACCAAGTTCATAGTCCCTAACTTG